GTTTGAAATAAAGCTAAGAGTTAATGATCAGAATATTTAAATAGATCAATTCACTCTCTCCATAGATCATTTTTACCGAATCTTCAGATGTATTTGGAGGTGGCAAATATTTTTGAATATATTCCTTGAAATTACGAATTTTAATTCGTTCATCATTTAAAATAACTTTTACATTCTTGCAACATCCGGCCATATCGAATACACGCTTTTTTAGTAATCCGATGATGTCATCAGTTAATTCGGACAAGCCAAACTTTTCGAGATCCGGTTTAAAAGTTATCTCCGTATACTCTTCTTTTTTTGAGTACGAAGTTAATTTCGGATTTTCTTTGATGCTCATATTTTTCTTAAATATTTGTCGGTACTTTTTTTTAACTGTCGTATCGGTCGTTTCCACAATAAACTCAGTACTAAAAATATTTGTCAATTTTGCGCCATAACCATTACGACCACCTGTAACCTTTTTTTCACTATCATTATAATTCGAAGATGTCAAAAGATGCCCGAAAATCAATTCCGGAACATAGACATTTTCTTCCTTATGCATCTCAATAGGAATTCCTTTGCCATTGTTGTAGATTGATATTAAATTCTGTTCTTTGTCAATCCTGACTTTTATAGTATTCATCGAAGGGTCCCGGATCTATAATAATAAAATGAATTAAATAATCATTTGTACATTTTATATTATAAAAAATTGTAATAAAACTCGTACCTTATTATCAGCAGCGTTAACCAATATTTCATCAACAATCTTATAAAGTCCGGGGACTATAGTTACGTCCTTATACACCATGGAATCAGTCTCCGAGTCGTAAATCCAAAGTTTTTCAGTTACAGATTCAACAGACCCGATATAAGTGTCTGGACGTAATAAAACATGCTCAATTTGTGTCTTCTTTTGATATATTTCTTCTACTGTTTTTCCGCTATGCGACGTATTATTCATTTTACTCGAAGAAGCTTCCGCGACGTCAGAAATATCGTTATCAGAACCATCGATATCCATTTGAGTTATTTCTGTCGCTTTTGCCCTTTTTACCGGCTGTTTCTTTCCCTTTGACGTTGACTGGGTAAAATTGTTATCAGAAATATCATTATCAGAACCATCAATATCTATTGGAGTTTTCTTTGTCACTTTTCTCGTTTTTGCTGGTTGTTTCTTTCCTTTTGACGTTGACTGGGTATAATTATTATCAGAAATATCATTATCAGAACTATCAATATCTATTGGAGTTTTCTTTGTCACTTTTCTCTTTTTTGCCGGTTGTTTCTTTGCTTTTGATGTTGACGGAGCATAATCGCTGTCAGTGTTATTAATTTCAAAGTCAAAGACGTCGTCAGAATCACTGTCTATTTGAATTCTCTTTGTTCTTGCCCTTTTTGCTGGTTGCTTTGTCGTTGACAGGGAAAAATCGCTATCCGACATAATGGTTAAATTTATTGAATAGTAAAAAGCTTGAATAAATATTCTATTTTACGTTTTCTCTATTTTTTTTTAAGCTTTTATTTTGTCAGACGCGCTTTTCATAGACTGATTTATTGTTTTTTGACGTGTCACCAAATCTATTATCACATGATCTTGTCACACTGTTCGCTTTAAGACCGTTGATATTGTGTGTCACTATATTTAATATACTAAAGTCTGTTGTGGTTTGTTTTTTGA